GCATTGCTTTTTATTAAGTGAAGTCTCATCAATATACAAGGGTGATGATGATAGCAAAATCTAGTCTACACTCTCACTCTCTGTTTGAGTAACAAAATTTGCAGTGACAATAACGAGATCACTTTCTAAGTCTTTAAAGTAAAAGAGGAATTCTGTCTGAGGAGAAAAATGTTGGGTTTTAGTCAAGGTTTCTGGTAAACTGAGCCTCTAAGAATTTCCTGTGTCAGTATGTGTTGAGAGGCAAAATGGAATGGATTTGCTGAAAGCAGCTACTAAACAGACCATTTAAAAGAAGCACCTCACCTTCCTCTCTGCATATACTGGGGGTTTCAATGTTTACTTGCTGGCATTGGTAACAGCCCCACTTTTGATCCATTAGGCCAAGGGGAAGAGCCTGAAACTTATATTTTATAGAGACTACTGACATCCTGCCCTACCAGCTACTGTGGTTTCTATGAAATAATTCAAGATAACCAGACATTAGTATTTCCCAAACTCCAATCTTCATAGCAGGCCCCTGCAAGCTCAGAAGGACAGTAACATAGTGATGGGAAAGTCCTTAATGAAGTCAGAGTACCTTGAGCAACACACAGGTCATCAGGCCATACGGCCAGTCTGACATATTGCCTGTTGATGGATGAGCAGTCTCCATACTTTAGAGCTTTCTTGGGCCAAAAGAGTGACTGTTGGTCCTCTAAAACCTAGATTTATGGGGGAGGAAGGGACAAATAGCAGCCTAGCTCCAAGGGGTCCATCACTGCAGCAGTGGCACAAATGCCTGTGAAGGCTTCACCTTTGTATATTCCTTCAAGGCAGAAAGCCCAGCAACCCACCGCAGAGCCACTAGCCCTTTTCCGTCTCTTCACTCCTCTGCTGATGCTGTCTGAGAGCTCAGCAAAAATCCATCCCACAAATAACAGCCTAGCTGCTAATGATGGGGTAGAGCTAAGTGTGTTTATCCATTGCTGTCCCATCCTGATGCAACAGAAACTCCTGCTAGAGTTGACCTGAGGAAGCCAAGTGAGGAGGATCCTGTGACCCTTTACTGAGATTCTTGCCAAACTAATAACAAATTTCAGTGGTGGTGGCATGATATGATCTTGAATGAGGACCAAGAGGAGGAGGTGTCTGTAGAGCCAAGCCAAACACTGTGGGCACAGCTCCCAGGAGAAGAGGCAGAGCTTGTGCTTAGCTGGTTTTCTTTAAACAAAAAAAAGCTCCTGTGACTTTCACAGCCAGTCTTATCAATGTCATCCTGCCTAATATTGATGAGTCATCCATCCTGAGATCCTTTTCTGGGTAAATCTGTGGCAGGCATGAGCCAGGGCAGGGAAGCTCTTGGAGCCTCAGCCAGCTCTGCAGCAAGGCACCCAGAGCATGATGCTACCAGCAGCTCAGTTCCTGCAGCACGAGAGGAACAGGGTAAGGAGGCTGGTGACAAGCCCATTGCTCCCAGAGAGCAGGACTGCATGGCACCACTTGGTGTCAACCAAGGGGAGGGGCACAGAAACAACAACTAAGAGAGAAAACAAGAAGAGGAAGAAAACACAAAAGGAAATGGAAGGGAATGTCTAGGGCAGGAGTCGAAGTAAGGCACAGGTAAGGAAAAGAGCAGGTGGTTTGGGAATAGCAAGAGGACCACGACGAAGGAAGAAGCACAGATGGATGGAGAGCAGACCTGGCCACCCAGAACAAAGGACAACAGAAATCCCTTAGAGCAGTCAGTCCTGTATTCGTACACATGCTTCAGCTTGTATTTCCACTGCAAGGCTCTCACATACACTCTGGAATGGATTTCATCATATATATATATATATATATAAATATAAACAGTGACATTTTTAACTTTGCTTCATTGTGGGAGTGGGGAAGAAATCATAACTTAAAAACCTGGGGTAGCAATACTGCCTTTGCTGTGTGGTTTGTAGATCCAAAGAGAAGAGGTCTGTGTTGTAGGGGAAGATGTTGAACAGCTGTGAAAAAGTGTAGCAGAATTTTGCTTCTCTGTGACAAAGCCAGATACATTGGTAAATATACAAAACCCAACAAAACTATTACAGAAAGTTTTTCTACAAATATTTTTCAGATTTTTTTGGGGGGGGAATAAAAGTTTTCAAACCACAGTATTCATTTTCAAATGGTAAGAGAAATTACACTTTTCAAAATATTTTTAAAGATTTTTTTAATGTCAAAACCAAAAACAAGTTGTCATCTTCCCCCTGTCCCAGAAGCCTTATGAAAAATATTTTTCTCCCTGTACTGTGGATGCTCTCTTCTCCATAATTAGTATTTTCATTATGCAGAAAAAAGTGGTTTGCTATAATTTCATCCAGTGTCTGCAAGAAGGAAACATATGCCCAACTGAAGCAGTAAAAATGGAAAATGAAAACTTTTTTTTTTTCAGTGGAGGTAAACTGTGAAAAAAGTTTGGAAAATGTAACTACAGTGAATCTTGTTACCGTGGGAAACAATCTATATCTCTGGTAACTAGAAATATAAAGGTAATTCTTTGACTCATTCTGGGAACTTCAGAGGTAGGAATTTTACAAGTTATGAATCCAAATGTCACTCCCAAAACAGAGTTAAATTGTGTTTCTTCTGCTTTCTAAGTTTTACTGAACAACCAAGACAGCTATGAAATGACTGTAAAATACAACAAAAAAGGCACACTTGAAAAACACAAAGAACTCTTTCCCCTGCCTCCAACCTGCCCCAATCCCTCAAAAACCCACAAATCGAAGCAATCCCTTACTCCAGGATCACCACACAGCCTCTGGATGTCACAGTCTGGAAGAACACCATGCACTAAGGCATGTTAGGCTGAACTTTCGTGTCTGCCCAATACTACACTAAATCCATTGACTGCTGTCAGCACAGTTGTACAGGAGTGACCTTGTCTCCTTCTAGGGTGAGTCAAGCAGAGCTGTGGGCTTGTTCCTGGGGCTGCCAGGCTCCTCCATCTCTGCATAGCCAGAGTTCCAAGATCTCCGTGCTGCTGCTCACTCACAGCGCTGGCCTGATCTTCCCATTCTTCAGCCACAAAGTGTGTGCACATGTGTTTACTCACAGGCACTTAATGTGTACATACAGGTATATTTATACATATATCCCCACCAAAAACCTAACTTACAAGGAGTCAATTCTCTACTGAGAGACTGTTAATAGAAGAGTTACTCAAACAATAAATAATAGCCTTGCTCCTTTCTACACTAATTTTCTCCATGAAATGCAGGCCTGTGATTTTTTTTTTAACAGCAGAAGGACATCATTTTCTTGTTTCACTTTCAATATTCTTCAGCCTTAGTTAATTTCACAGGCCAGGGAACAGAGATGATTTTATGATTCCACTGAATCTGGATCAATAGGATTCTTTCCACCCTATTTCCCAGATGTACATTTGATTTTTCTAATGTTCTCCCCAATAAAATAATCCTACAGCTCACTCTGTTTTACATTGCCTCTTTTCAGCCCCTTGCTCTCCTCGCAGCAGAGCTGAAAGGCAAGGAACTGAGGATCCCTGTTCAGAGTCAGCCCCCTGCATGTTTCTTGACCATGCAGGCTAACAGAGGCTCTGTTGTGCTCTGCACTGATAGAAATGTCCCAGCCAAGGGAGTGAAAGGCAGAGGATAGATTCATATTATACAATGTTAGCTATCAAAATACAGCTGGACCTAAAGAGCCTATTCAGAACCTCTAGATCGTGCTTTAAAAGTAAATAAGGTGTCTCAAACAGCTGCCTTAAAAATGCAGCTTAGTGAAACAGTTAAGACCATTTTACAAAGTAGCATAAGAAGCTGGGTTTGTTCTATTAGTTTCCTTAAAAGCCAAAAAAAAAAATGCAAGAGATTAAACTTTAAATACTGAAGTGGCATATTTGGTTAATAACTAGACAAACGCCATAATAGGATTTTGTTAAAAGCCAGAAACATGCAAATTATTTGCCCTAGATGATGCAAATTAGGGTTAGTTTTAAATTTTGTTAGGTGTGAAAGTGACACAGGCAAACAGGCCCAGCATTAGGGCCTCTCTACCACTCCTACCCCAGAAAAACACTTTACGGCCCCTATTGCCACAACTCTGTAACTCCTTCCCCTGAGAGCAAAGGTGATGAAATGTATGGAGTCTGGCCACAGGGAAGAGAAAGATGCTGCCATCTCTGCTTAGTCCTCATGTTTCAAAGTGCCATCACAGAAATCCAAACCAGCACTCAATTCTTAGGGAACTGTCCCCTCAGAATAACAAAATAGAGACAACCATAATGGTGCCAGGCTCTCATGAGGAAACTGAGAGCTCTGAACTAAGCTGTTGCCAGTGACCAGGCACAGTACATAGACATCTTTGTGGTTCTGAAAGGCACAAACTCCCTGTTTCCTCCCATGAGGAATCTACTCCTGACCTATTTTTGGCCAATAGACTTCATCAAGGCAGGAGATACTCTCTGCCTATACATAGGATATGATTGCAAAATGTATCTGCACAGAATTCAACAGCAATTTTGTTCTCCATTAGCCTATTTGTTTTTTCATTACCTGCACAGTTCATGATTTCTCTCATTAATCACTAAACTCCATTATTAAAGCCGAGAAACATTTTTATGAAGTTGAGTAGAAAACATAATTACTGTTGTAGAACAACCACTGCATATTAAATTTAAAACAAGCAGAACCCACGAGCAAAGAACCTGTCTTTTGACTTCAACATATTTGTCCTGGAAAAAAAAAAGGCAAAGAATTTATATGACTGAAACAGTTCTCATATACTATTGTGACCAGCCAGCTCCTTCTTCATTCTTCTCAAGTTATCACAGTGGAGACATTGCTGTTGACCTTTTGGGACAATACTTTTAAACAGATGCCACAGCAAACATTTTAGCTTGTTTTGAAAAATCTGTTTCTTGTCAAAAAAAAAAAAAAAAAGATGGGCTGGTTGGGAGGGAACAGCATTGCTGCTGCTAACAGAGGAGTGACATGTGACATGCCAGTGCATTTGTGACACCTTACCTTATCCCCTGGCTGTGGTCGCATAAGAGAGACTTGATCATAGCCCCGTCGAACCAAAGCCCACAGTGCGTCAAGTTTGCCCTGGAATACAAAACCAACAAGATATGACCAAGAAATTTGGTGAAAATAGCATGAGATGAAACTACAGGTGAGTTAACACAGCTTTCCTGTATTAAACTGTCTGCACACGCACTGGTCCTGTGCCCTCACCCTCTGTACACTGCTTATCTGGACAACCAGAAGGACCTCTATGGGGTAACACATACCCAATATGCAGTGGGCCAAATTCTGTCTGCTCAAAACTCACTGAGGATGACAGAAGTTTCATGTGAGCAACTCCCTCAGGAGAGACTATCAGACAGGTGTTACATTAAGGTATTAATGTTACTTGAGGTGTTACAAAAGGCAAAACAAAACTACTGTACTTATGGGAAGAGAGCTGGAACACTGATAAACAGCCACAAAGCTTTAAAATTCACAGATACTTTCCTGACAATAAATTCAAGCACTGTTTAATTCATCTGTGACTATGGTGGGGAGGGGGGAACTCATCCCACAGAGTACTGTTTTGGGACATGGCCACAGATTTCTGGGATGAGCATGGTATGCTGCTCCCTCAGCCATGTCAGCCCTCCAGTTTTCTTCTCTGCAAGCAGAGATAACAGCTATTCCCTGCCTCAAGGGCTGTGTGAGGACACATACATTAAAAGACATCGAAACACTAGATACTATAATTACATGGGGAAAAATGGGGATGAAAGTGTGGAGAGACTGAGTGACTTGCCCAAAAATCAAACACTTGGTCTTGTGGCTGAACTAGAGGAAAACAGAGCTGGACTCCAACCCAAGGCTTTAGCCACGATGCAGTCAAAGCAAGTATGGTGCACTTTATCCAATCCTCTTTTTGACTGCCTTGAGATGGCATAAAACAGCATCCTGCCCCCCAGCAAGAGTTGAGCAATCTGTTGTTACAATCCACTGTATCTAGAAAGACAGTGAGTTGAGGAAAGGCTCATGCCCTTCACTCTTCCTCAAAAATCTATGGCAATGCAGTGCCAGGTCAGATGCATGTTCCAAGAAACAAGCAAAGCTGAGGATTAACAGCTACTTTTCCAAATAGGTTTTCCCAGCTCTGCAGAAAGAAAGGTTGTGCTAAGGAAGCGGGATGTAGTATCATATATGACATGAGAGACTTGATAAAAAATGAGGGTCAGACACATTACCTTGATGGGAGTGTACCATTTTCGCTGGGAAGGTGGTTTTCTCACATGGGGCTTCTTTGGCTTAGGTTCCCAGGGCTCATACTCCTGTTCTGGCAACTTAATAATAGCGTTTTTGGGTTTCTCCAATTTTGCTCCTTCCTCCGTTGACCCCTTGTCTCCCCATCGCACCTGAAGACAGGAGAGCACACTGTAAGTAGAGACACTTCAGCACTCCCCACTGGTAAGAGGTTTCCACAGACATTAATCTAGTTCCCATCAGATGTCCCAGTGCCACCAGAAATGAAGTCAAATTTATGAAAGCACCGAACTCCCACCGTAATCAGAAATACACATTTAAGAGTAAAATAGTCTCATTCAAAAGCTTCTTGAACTACTAGCCTTTTCACCTTCCAGTAATTTAAAGTGGTGTGGGAATTCACAGCATCTGGGGCAGATGAGAATCATTAAGGCTGGAAAGACCTCTAAGCTGATTGAGTCCAACTGTCCAACCATTAACCCAGCAGCACCATGTACGCCATTAAACCACATCTCAAGTGCCACATCCACACACCTTTTCAGCACTTCCAGGGATGGTAATTCCACTTCTTCCCTGGACAGCCTGTTCCAACTCCTGATTACCCTTTAAGTGACATTGCTAGAAGTCATCTTTAGGCCCTCAGCTGATACAGGTGAATGACAATCACTGACTCCCTGGAATGTACATGCCACAGGACACCACAAGGCAGATTCTTTTCACAGTGACACTTCACTTACACTTCAGGACTGACTGGTGTATGAATTGGATTTGATTCATTGGCCAATTTCAACATAGATGTGCTTTTGTGTATCAGGAGTTAATGCTTAAATGGAAGAAAAAAATGCAAAAGAAAAAGAAACATCACTGGTTTAAAGTCCTCAAACCAACTGCCTTCAGCCTTTGCATAGATGGCACCCTCAAATACTTAAAATCAACGTAGCCCTGTCTGAAGTCTTTCTGACAAGAGAACTGGACACAACTGCACTGAAGAGTTTGACTGGGTAAATTAAAACCTCTTTTAGTGTTTATCTCATTTCTTACCCTGCAAATTTTCTCTGGTTTATAATGCTAGATTCATTTAATTATTCACGTAAATGATAGCAGCTTGATCTCTGTTACTTGGACAGCAGGTGCAAATCAGGTCAACAAGCCCTAATTAAATCCCAGCCTCCAGTTTATCAAGGTACCTTTTCAAAAGTCACATAAAAACATATTGGTACAATTTTTAACTAAATGTGATAGGTTTTACAACACTAAAGAATAAGCCAAATACCTCCATCCTCTTAATCCCACCAACACCTCGACCTCCATAATAAGATGCATCCACGGTTGGCCACTTTTTCTTTGGCAATCCATCTTCATCATCTGATTCCTGTGGGAAAGACAAGGAGATATTACAGCTGTTCTCACATAAACAGCAAAAACTATGGAAAACAGCTGAATATCCTATGGTCCAGTCCTTGGATATCTGGCTTTGTGTGTTATACTTATTTGCTGATCAAAAAAAAAAAAAGTCTCTTGTCTCTGCAGCTGCAATTTTAACTAGGAAAGCCAAAGAAGACTGTCTATTCCTCTCCCCAGGCAGCTTTTATTAAGTCAAATATGCACTGAGCTCCAAAATCCCAACTGACTTGTAAGGGATGGCAAAATGCAGATGAATCTCCCACTATACTGGATTGCCACTATGCTATGCAGAAAATGCAGCAATCAGTTAGCCCAAATAACTAATTTATTAATTGCACTTTTAGAAATTATTGTCACCTAACAGAGGAAAACACAGTGAGTTTTCTACACGTTCATCAGACCCTTTTCTCATGGCAGTTGAAACAAGTTATTCTACACCACTTGATTCTTTGCAGGCTCAAGCGGTACAGTTTGAAACCAGGAATCAGACAAATTGTCATGGAGCTCAGATCCGGAACAATTAGGAACACTGCAGGTTATTTTTAAGGAACATGCAAGTCAGAATCAGGGACTTACTTCAAGTTCATTTTCTATTCTTGCTTAACTAAAAATTGGCAGATATTTCTGGTTTGACAACCCTGGGGACACATCTCCAGCTCTATCATCTTGAGCCAGTAGAAGTCACTGATATATGAATAGATTTCTCAGACTCCTCATCATGACACTAAGTTAAGGCACCTGAAAGTCACACCATGACACTCTCCAAGTACACACATAAATGAGGAAAGGGCCCAACAAGCCTCCTACAATATTATTTTCATTCCTCACACACTAACAAAGACAAATAACTCTACCTCATGCTGGTATGCAGATGCGTGTGCTGCTCTTGGACTGGCCATGCACAGTGTTCTCTGCTAATTTTCATCAGTACAGGTATATTTCTAGAAACACTACCTGGACTTAGTTTTTAATTAAAAAATAAAATTAAAAGAATCAAGTGAAATCCAAATACTGTAGATGGACATAAATTACTGTCACATTACTAGTTGACAGTTTCTCAAAATTGTCTTTTGTGTTTCTATTGGAATGTATCAGGAATTGACAGCCCAAAAGTCAAGAATAGTTTTTTAAAAACATGATTTAATTTTTATTTGTTTGTATTTAGCTCTTAGGTTATGCCTTGGAGAAAGGATTCCATCAGTTATTCAGTGACATGTGATCTCTCAGCTATGGTTCAACGGGTCAATTCCTCCAACAAATTCTTCAGTATGGCCAGGAAAGGCTAGAGCTGACATTTCCATGAACTAGCAAGGGGAGTTTGAGTTTGGGGTTTTTGTTGTTTTGTTTTGGCTTTTCGGTTTGGCGTTTTTTTATGATTTATTATTGTTGCATTTTGGTTTTATCCTAATTCAGGGAAATAAATATACAAGAAAGGTATTGTGGTTTGGTGTTGGGGTTTGTTGCTGTTTCACTTAGTTAGTTTTTTTTAAAGAGTATAACAAATGCACAAATTTTATCCCACTTCATGCCACATCTAAACCAGTACCCAGTGAACTACATCAGCATTTTTAATATGTTTATATTTAACTGTGAACCTGAGTACTATATAAAATACTCTGCCTCTTCTATGAGATATAACACAGATTTCAAGCATTCATGTCTAACAGCTCTTGCTGCTGGCAAGCCTGACACTGGCAAGACACAGTTAATAATGACAGTTGATATTTTTCCAGCTAATACAGGATTTATATGAAATATCCCCAATACTGAACATACAGCATAGAAACATTTACAGCTACCACATGGAAATCTAATGCTTGTGGTTAAGTTTCACATAACTATATACAGTTTAAGAGCAGCAACACCAAACTGCATCAGCTAAAGGGCAAGTCACCATATCTAGAGAGGCTAGTGCTAAGTGTAATGAAACAACAACCCATACTGGATAAAGACAAGGCCAAGTAATGAGATGGATAACATCTGTATTCTGCGTTATTCCTGGAGGCTTACATCAGTTTAGTCTCTTTTTTTGCATTTAAAATTTCTGCTGATGACAATAATTGCAAAGCATCTGGGAACTCTGCTGCAGGGGTGTAATGCTCTCTGCAACCTTCAAACAGAGCACAGCTGTAATTGCACACTTTGTGATAACACTAATCACACTAAAAACATGAATTTTGGTGTGTATTCTGAAGTTAAATTGTTACAGTGCTCAGGACAAGCAACAGGATCACATACACAGTAATGGTGGCCTCTAGCAACCTCAAAACAGCAGCTGTCGTTGCCTCCTCATATTCATGCCAAGTTACAGCAAGTTAGCAGCAAACTGTAAGACTCTCTTGTGGGTTACCAAATATTTTTCCATCATTTAACTGTCTATGCCTATGAAAGAAATAAAGGCAGGCATAAGTTTTCTCTGGAGTAATTTTATTTACTTCTTCTATTTTCATGAACTTAGTACAGTGCAGCTAAGCTGAGGTCAGGGTCAGTGAGTTACTGTCTCCAAAAGAGCTAAATAGAACCCTGCCTCAAACAGCACAACCTAAATGACGAAAGGCTAAATGTCCTTCCAAAGGTCACTCTGCAGAAGAGCCACTGCCAGGGCAGGCTTTTGTCTCCCTCTCCTGTAGCAAAGCCACAAGAATGTGGCCTTTGCTGTCCTTTCTTCCAGCTGCCAGACTGTTCCTTACTGCCAATCTGCGCTAAACTCCTGCTGAGAACAATGTCAGCTTTACTGGAGGAGGGACAGCTGTCAGCACAGACTGAGAAGCAAAGACTTGCTTACACACCTGTTCAAAGCACAGCAGAAGGAACGAAATACCATAGGAACTGTTGGTCTGTGGACTTCTGAGTTATGCAATTATTTTCTCTCTGGGTGGAAGCAGCCTTGCTGTATGTATATAAAGAAGCCAGAAGGCAGAAATAACTGCCCTGACCTAGAGAACTTCCTTTCACAGCCTTCAAGGTGTCATTAAGACACCTACAGGGGTGATATTCCTGGGCAACACAATACACTACAGTGGCTGCAGAAAGTGCAACAGCTCCAAAATAGCATACTCACAGGCTCTGGGGGGGGTGGTGGTGGCGGCTCCTTGATCACCTGGAATATACAAATATTGGGAGAAATCTGAGACAATGGCAGGGTTCATCCATCTCAATGCTTTGTTCTCTTTGTTTTCTTGATCATATCACAAATGAGTTGTTGTGCTTCATTCTCATACATGCAACTCCTACAGAAACTGAAGCAACACTCACAAGCTTACTTAAACTTCTCATTCAGCGTAAAAATCACATATGCCTTGAAACAATCAAAAACCCAGACTAGAGTGACTTCAACAAGCACTTTAAGCAACTTGTTGAATCAGGGCTTTACAAATAAGGCAACATTTTTCTTAAGCAGTTAACCACCCACTCCAACACTTTAGCTGTGTGCTTTTGCCGAGAATAGATAAAACTAAGTCAATAGAATAAAAAACTGTATTTACCACTGTGCAGCAAAGGGGCCAAAACCACCACAGCAGAGCCAGAGCCAGCAGCAGGAAGAGAATCAGGAGAGCAATGAAAAGGATGGTCCCAGTCAGCTGCAAATAAGATGATTACATCTGGGTTATCTGCTATGTCTCAAAGAAGGCAGGAGCCCTGAAGTTACACATTTAGAATCAACTTTCACTCGTTACAAGGTCTCAGGAAGATTGTGATCTTAATCTTCATTAAAATCATAACAGTATTTGATGTGACAAACCTGTATTTGAAGCCACAAAATCAGGGGAGCATCTCCTGTTTTGCATTGTGTATTTGTATAATTTACGTATGAATTTTTGGTATGTTTATAGCCCATTAGATTCAAGAGTCTTAAACCTGTACACAATCCATTTTGTGCTGACAGGTCCCTTAATACTGTCAGAGGGGCATTGCAAACTACATCACCACAGACTCTCAGGCATGCAGAATAACCTTTCATCACTAGAGATGCAGAATATGCAAATGCTGATATCCAAGGAATGGGAATACTGGAGACAAGACCTTATAGGTAACTGTTTGCATGTCAGTATCACAGAACAGAGAACAACTTACTTGCCCAGAGCATCAGCTCCAAGCCTGCCTGTATTGCCTTGACCCAAACTGCACACACAACCCTTGCCTGAGTGATTATACAAACTAGTCAATAATGCTGTTGGTTCTTGGTATGCTTCTTAGGGCTGGTTTGACAATTTTTATGAGATGCTGTAATCATTATCTTAAGCACTTCTGATTCTTATATTCCATTGATCTCTCTGCAGAGAACAGTGAGACTCTGGGGATGGATAGCTAAGGGTCTACCTTCAAAATCCAACTTAAATTTTCTTTAAAATTACCAGGAAAAAAAAAAAAAAGTAAGTTTCAACACTTGAAATTAGCTTTCCGGAGCAGGTAGGCAACCAAAGAGAATCACAGCTCTGATTTTTCCAGATAAATCTTGATGGATCCTTTGAACTTGTAGCATTTCACATCAGTGCATTCAGAAGAGGCATTAACTCTGTGTATTGCTCTGATGACTACAGGAATCAAGTTTTCATATGCTCCTTGGCTCCTGCAGAACACACAGAGCACATGGCTTTTGGAAATTAAACACTTGTCACAGATGGGCACTGCTGGGATGTGCCCTATCCTTGGGCTGCACTGGTTTTGGGAATGATGTTAAGATTAGCTCCAGCTATATTTAAATTTTTTTATATATATTCGGAAAGAAACCTCTTCAATGGTAGATTTTCAGAACTTGAGAAGAGGTTCAATTCACCAGAAACAGGGTAACAAAAGACCAGGCAAAACTTGGCAGCAAACTAGAGGAGAGCCTGAGTCTAGGAAGATGTGAAAAGAGCTTGAAGAAAGGTTGGTGAATCAGGCTGAGGAAATAAGAGTTGGCTAGAGAGGAAGCTGTAAGAGATTTTCAAAAAAGGATAGGTGAGAGGATAAAGTGAAAGAAAGCAAATTCCAAAAAAGACTTAGAGATGACAAAACCCATGAGATTCACCTTATTATATCTGAAACTACTTACTGAATTCCCATGACACCAGAAACTGATCCTTAGCCCCTTCTTACAAAAGGGGCTGTTCTAAGTGCATTTGTTTTCCCTTCAGACAATGAAAAGGCTGAGGGTGGAAAAGAAAGTATTAGCTGATAAGAACTTGCAAAATCTGGGTGAGATCCCAAGTGATTGAGTTGACTGGTAGCTAGTTCTTTCTCAGGCCAAATCCTAGAGCTGTCAGGACTAACGTGTTCAATATGGGATTTACACAAACACAGCACCTACTCCATGCCTTTAGGTGGACCATCAGGTCACAGCATCACCATCCCTCCACTGCTCCGTGGCTTTTTGTTATAAATACAACAAACTGACCTGTTTGGGATAAGCTATTTAGCTCACCTTCATTTGGTCAGGGAGCAGCTGGAGTGCTGCAACATGTGTACCAGACTCCCTGCTCAAAGAAGTCTTGTTAGAGGACACACTACCCAGCTGCAGTTCAGCACTACAGCCCCCCTCTCTGGCCCTCCTAAGGCCCCGTGTAGCACTAAAGCATCTGGAAAGCAAATACTTGAAGAGGTATTAATTCCCAGTGAAGTCAGTTTGCTGAGAAAAGGGTGAGTAAAAATCAAGTATAGCTTTAGGAAGTATTGTTGCACTCCTTAAAAACAAATCCAAGTACAGTAGCTATGCAGTACCACTGCTACTATTACTCCAAACACACATTACCTCCTTGTTTTGTCACCTTTGTTCTCAGGCATTGCTTTTCTCATGCTAACTGCACATATAAATTGCTGTTTGCCATAGAAGCTCAGGAGCTGCTGGCAGCAAGAAGCTAGTCTTCTTTCAGTGATTTTAATGACACAAAGCATCACAGTGAAGCTGGACTTTGAAAAGAAAATAGCAGACTTCATGCAGCTGAACAGAAATAAGCATCCCAATCACACAGAGGCTTTAGAAGTAAAGTGAAGATACTTACTGTATAGAAAGGACAGAAGGACCAGCTGGGGAGGAGAGCTGAGCAGGCCAGCTGACTGCCACCCACAGAAAAGGAAACAGGAGAGGAAAGGAAATAGAAGGAGTCTCTAAAATGAGAAGAGTGAAATGCATGAATTAAGATAAAGTTGGAAACTGAACTGCCAACCTCCCTGCTTATGGGATGTAACTGGAGTGAGACAGTACTTTTGCACCAGCTGTGAATGAGGCTTCCTGCCTCCTTCACATTAAATCTGCAATAGGCTGGTCAAAAACTGTCAGACTGACAGGACTGGAGATTGGATTCCTCTTTTTATTCTAAGGCTACCAAGAAGAAAAGCTTTCTCCATCCATGCTCTGGCATTAAGGAACCCCAGCTAGGGCTGAGACTTCAGTCTTCATCAGAAATAGGTTACATACGGGTAACTAAATGCACCATTTAACACTTTTGTTACACTGCAGACATGAAAGGTTTAATTGTACTTGAGGTAAAAGAGTGGAATAAAATGTGAAAATATCAGTCCTCAGTGTTGAAAATCTGGAGAAAAGTTTTGTAAAATAGACACGATCAGGCAAAGCAGCAAACACATCACTGCTAAATTGAGTCCCTGCACCCCAAAGTGTTCCAGCACTCTGTTGTGAGATTTCCCACCTTCATCACTGAAAACATCAAAAAATGAGATCTGCAAGTTCCAGTCACTGCCTCTATCTGCATTCCTGCCCTTCTCCTCTGCAGCTGTCAAAATGGTCAACAAATGATTACAAGCCAATATGACAGCATTTGGCATAGGCTATAAAAGTCCTTTTGACACTAATAATAATAAAGCTCAAGTTTGATACAAATTGTTTGCTATCAGGTACTTCAGCCAACTTGGTTTAGACCAGGAGCACCAGGTTACATCTTTAGTTACAGTGCTCACTTGCATCAGCTACGGGTATTGCCTGTTTTTACCCCAAAGGTAAGGAAGACAATTTCTTATCTAGTAGTCAGTTTCTTAATTTTGATTGTTTGATTCTAAAAATCAGACTTTGATGAAGGATTACTTCTAGCTGTTTTCCCTGACACTTCACCTGGTCTTTTTGACCATGAGATTCTTGTATCCTAACCATCACTGTCCACAACAGCACACTCTCCCTTGGTTGGGCTAAGCAGCAACATTTTATTAAGACACTCATATCAGGATCTGAGAGTTCTATTTCTTTCTGGTCATCCCACAAGACACCAAGAGAAAAAGCAAACAGACCCTATCACTAAAACTTAGAAAACACCTTCGCACATCCTGAATTAGTAAAGGAAAACTGTGGTGGTCAAAGAACAAATGCTGTAAGCTCCAACCAAAACCAACCATGTCAATTTAGAGGACCTTTCATTCTGTGGCCCTTCCTGATCAAAGTCCTAACAGTTGCCTTTTTACTCCAGATCCCATTAGGTATCCCAAAGCTCAACAGGGTATTGCTTCCTGATGCTCCTTCCATCATTTTCTCAGATCACCTGCCAGTAAGATCCTAGCTTTGAGGATCTCTCTCTCGGAATAGGAATGCCTTTTGTTGTAATTTTTTATTCAGGTAATCTGTCATGATTGTCTATCATCAATAACAATTTAATCTTAAGTAGCCCTGGTTATTTTTCCAAGAGCTGCTTCCATCTGGTCAGTAACTGTGATGCAGAAGCTGCAGACAGACCATGCTCGCTCAAGAAGGCTTTGCCTAAAGAACCACAGTTTCTTTCCAAGATCTCGTGGTTTCTCTGTCAAGCCCCATTGCCATTACTTACACAGTGTGCGCTGGTGATGCTGACAGAGCTGGAGATGAACGTTAGCCCATTGTTCATGCTGACTTGTAGGAAAACCACCCTAAAGCACAAAACAGATACACTTACTTTTAGTGTCATATTTACACCCACTGTTACCTTTACTCTGGCTCTCTTTTAGCCATTGGCTCATAAACACACACGGACAGTGTGTCCTGCTGAGTCAAGGCATTTTCATGGCTCCAGGCACTTACCTGCATTTGCCTCTCTGCTTGCCCAGGAACTACCCTTTTTATGTTGCCTTAATTGACATGGGACATATCCTCTTTATAAAAAAAACTCCTCCACCTGGGGCAAAGGGCACTAGGCCAGTGAATTAGAACAATGTCCCAGACATTTGCCATACTACTCTAAAGAGCACAAGAAACTAAGATTTTTTTTTAACCCCCTTCTGCAACTTAATGCACGAGAATGTTTCTTTTGTAATTCAAGCAAATCCAGAATACATGCATAGAGGTTAAGGGTAAAAACACTGAAATACCAGTGAAATTTTAGAAGATTCTGTCCTTAGCCATTCTCCAATATTAGAGAAAAGATCTACAGGGGGAAAAATAAAAAATAATAGTAATAAAAAAGGACAAAACCCAACCAAACAAATTTGCTTCACCCACAAATACAAAGGGAGATGGAGGCCCAGTACAGTATTTAAGCACCCACAAGATCACCAAGGGGAAAGGTAGGGCATTATGTCATGTCTCCTAGGAGTCTAAAGGATTAAAGCAGCTGGAAAATGCCAACACTAGACAGAGCAGGGCAAAATACAGGAAGCAATATCTATAACAGCAGCAAAGCAATTCAAATCAAACATCTCCTTTCAATCAAAACTAAAAGTTTGCCTGTAATTTAATTACCTTTTGGTCTGAAAAAACATGATATAGGAACAAAGGAGCAATCACCATTCTATGATATGGGGCCATGGTCCAGCCAGACCTTTGGTTAAACTGTGCTAAAGACCCAGCATTGAATAGGGCTATGCTGACTCACACTAGGAAAGGATTTGGCACAAAGGGGATGGCTGCAATCTGACACACATATACATAAATTTATTAGCTAGACACTTTGGGCAAAATTGTGAGCCTTTGGTTCAGTAATGACATCCTCATCCAGAAGTCCACTCTCTCTTGATACATGCTGGAAAGGAATACTTACTGTCCAACATCTTCTATCACTGGTGCCGGACAAAGTAAGTAAGTATCGTGAATAAGAGTCGGTTTTTCATCTGAAAAGAAATTAATATAACTATCAGGGATGAAAAAAAGAAATTGTTCCAAGCAGGCTACCCCCTGGAGAAGTGCTGACATGAACAACAGCCACAGATCAACTCAGTATATGGGCGAGTACCAATACTCCCCAGTGGTGCTGATTACCAACTAGAATAACCATTCATGTTGATGCCAACATGATGCTACCAGGCTAGAGGTATCACAGCTAAGAAATGGAAGTGTACCTCTGTTCCTGACAGCAGTGATCAGCCATTTGGAATTCAGCTTTGAGCAGTATCAATCATGCCCATCTGAAAAGTGCATGCAACCTCTACTCATACTGAATACTCTGACCCCTCAATTACTCAAGGGGTCAAAAGTTTAGCGTTCAGTTTTTATCTACCCGCTGTCGAATACACACAGAGCAGAATCCAAGGCTGCACTGTTTGAGCCCAGGAGAAAGGAAGGACAGAGATGGGGCAGAGCTAAAACTGACAAATACTGGAGAAAAAAACCAAACCAACCAGGGCTGGTCATTTACAGGAGCCAAACAGAGAGGGGCCATGACTGGTGTTCCCTTGAGACCTACCCTGCACTAGCTGCTTCTGCTGTACCTGACCTCCCCTCTGTGGCAACATAAACTACAAATAGCCCATGTTTATAAGGGTTTGGTACAGGCAGAGCCAAAAGCACAGCCATGGGTGTTTTCCCACCTTCTTGCACACCACTGCTCCAGCAGCCAGCAGTGTTAATCCTTTAGCTTTCAGAAGTCACATCCAGAAAGCCAAGTCCCGTGAACACAGACAGGAGGCCCAGCAGTAATCCTGCAATGGCATTCCACTAGAAGTGGGTAAACTGAGGCAGAAGAGTAGACACAGTACTGCTGTGACTACGGCTTAGCTCTAAATGGCCAGCAAAGCAGCTCTGGTGCTAGCCTGGAGAAAGACTGATCTACAAGAGTTGAACCCAAGTAACAGGCTGATAAAAGCTGCCATCTTATTTACAGATATTTGTTTACTCTTTTTACCTAAGGAAAAAAAAATAATTCAAGCAACAACAAATCTAAGAGTTGTTCCTTCATGCTTTATCCACTTCAAGCATACCTGAAGACAGAACTCATTTCCCTGCCTTGGCAGAGATGACAGCATAAAAATCACTGGTATGTTTTAGGGCCAGCCTGAAGGCAAAAAAAGCCGGTCAGCCTAAATCAGCATCTCATCACAACATCTGTTGCAGACCCAACCCAAGGAAAACACAACATGGAGCTGGAATGGAATCAGAGTAGTTTTCCTCCTGTGCATTTCCAGGCCCAGGTCAGCACTCACTGTGTGAAGTCCAATCAAGGTGCTAGCGGATTGGGGACAAGGAAAAAAAAGCAAAAAGTCTGTTTAACTGATACACCACAAGAAACAAATCCTGGTTAAAGGGCATCTGTAAGTGGAATGAGAGCAAGACCACCAGAGTTGATTTAATGCAGCATCCACGTAGACAACTTGGATGGGAAATGAAGGAGCAATTCATTTGCTCCCTCTTGTAAGTGAATTCACTGCTAGAGAAGGCACCAGTCTGGGCACGACAGGATGTGAAAGCCTCTACTGTGCTCAGCCAACAAGGGTAGCATATACAAAAAAGGAGCAGAGCTTCCCCTTCCCACACCATGCTTCACCCTGCCAGACATACACAGCTTCTCAGGAGTCAGAGAACTGCTGAGAAACTGGACACTCAATCTTTTTTGGACATTCAGTCCTTTGCCTAGCTGCTGAGACAGCAAACAAAAGACCCTGTCCAGGGCAGCAATGACAAGGAATTTCCATGCTACACAGTCACTGTGGTGGGACCAGCAACTGGTGTCAGAGAGGAACAGAGCAGGCCTGGCAGGGCTTAGTTTTATTATGGCAATTGTCTCCTGAACTGGTGAATAAAAACTGAAAACACCACCATGGGATCAAGATAACACTACTTCTTTTTACTTGGAATGGGAAGCAATTTTTATTCTCCACCTTAAAACCTGATACCCACTCTTCTCTGCCATATGCATCACCCATGTGCATCACTACAATGATGCTGTGCAGCAGCATGCCCCATTTAAGCACTCAACACAATGCCCACAGGTCACAAGATTGAATAAGAATGAATTTCAAGCTTCCTTTAAGTGATCTCTGCCCCAGCTCCCCCTCATATCTGCTGCAAGGACTCCCCTTAACATGGATGAGTGTTGGCCTGTGTTCCATGAGGTGACCCAGCCACAGGTATCACTAGAATACACCAGCCTGCAAACTTACTGATAGTAAGGCTGTCATTGAGCTTGAAGCTGCAGAGTACTTGGTCAATATTTCTTGCATGATAAAAGCCGTTGCCTCTTACCACAACTTGAAAGGATTCTGCAAGTGAAAATATAGAAAGAAGATTTATGAAAAATAAATAACAGCATTTCAGTTCAGAATTACCTGAATTAAAACATGACAATTACTGTTCTCTGCCCTATGCCTGAAAGAAAACATTTCCCCTGACACTCTCTCTGTTCAGCAGCAGTGGCCAAGAGCATTACATGGCATTAGTGCTTTACAGAGTCTTCTCTTTGTCTTAAGTTGGCTTCCACAAGCGTAACACAGATCCACAATGCCTTGAAGGTGCCACAGTAAAACTAAGTCTGACTTGACTGATGTTATCTCATGGCTCCTCTGTGGCTTTTGGAACAGACACCTTGCACAAGCACCAGTCCTTCCTCCTCTCTTCATGGCAGATGGCACTTGGCTGTAAGCAGCAGCTCTGTTCAGGCAGATGCTGACAGACAGGACTCCCTCTTAAATCCCCTGTGAACTAGAGAGAAAGCTTTGCATCTGGTACAAACCCTGAAAAAAAACCACAGCAGTCCTCCTGCCCGTACAATAATTGAGTCCGTGCACAGCCCCACTCAGCATCTGCTCTGCATGGGAATACCTAAGGTGCCATCATTTTCTTTGTGCTCTTCCCCCACAACCTTGTCCCAGCAGCTGAAACCACCAGTGGCACAAGAAGAGGCCTGCCACAACTTCTGTTGTTTTATTCCTGATAGGGCAGGCACCTGTGATTTGTCATTACTGTGATAAGCAACTATGATTTGTTCATTCAAGCAGGAGAAGCATCATTGGTTTTTGGTTTTTTTTTTTGGCTAATGTTTCAATAGTCTTTTTACTGACAGAGCAGTTTTGCATTTGAACAAAGCCAATATAGGAAGGGTACTGTCAAAAGGGAGATCCCAACTGCACACGCCCTCCACTGTTGGCACCACTGATCATGTTGCAGTGCACTGACTCGCTCATACTCCTGGAAAATAACTGTTGCCAGAGACACCAGTAAAGTGACTTGCCTAGCTGAGCATCAGCTGGAAAAAGCAGCACACAGGAGAAGGTAAGGGAGAGCGACAAGTAGTGGTAGCACCAAGTGAGTTTATGTCTATCATGAAAGCACTTGGTGTCACCATATCTTTCCTGTCCCTAACTGTACTGGATAACTTGAGAAAGAAAATTATCAAGAAACCTGGCTTTGTTTTCTCAGCTAAAACAAAATTGCACTTGGATTTTTCTTGTCTCCTGAACCAATAGTCTTAAAAGGCAGCAACCACAAAGGTTTAATTGGTAGATATTTCAGTGGCTTTAAAAAGATACAGCAAGTAAGAAAGTTTCAACACAAGACATCAAAGGTAAAAGCTACATCTAGAAGTTTAGTCTTGTCAAGACAGTTTACCTCTCCTGCCATTCTTTTCACTGTGACTGCCACTCTGCACAGTCAGTTGTGAGCCAGTGACTGGGCAGTAACCTGTCTACCAACATAAGCTGACAAGACTTGCAGGGAAATGTAAACAGTTGGTACTGGATTTAGTTGTTGCTGTTAAGAAGCCTGCCCCTTCGGTTGCTCTGGAGCATTAATGTGTTCTGGATGATGGTCTGTTGAAATGGCTAATTCCATTTAATTTTGTGCTCTGGCTCTGGCTGCGTCCTTTTCTTCCTTAGTTACTGTCAGATCGTAGATTGCAGCTTTTGACAAGACAGCGAAGGGAAAAAGGTCAGCACTGAAATAACCGGGCAGCGCTGGCAGCGAGATGGTAGGTTGAAGCTGGTGTGCGCTGGCTGCGCTGTCGGCTCCGCTTCTCTGACTCTGATGAGAAGCTGACTGCTTGCATCCACACCTGGTAGTTGATGTGGCCAGTAGGATGCCACATCCAACAAAACCTTTCAATCACATCTGCGTACCGTGAGCATAATCAAAGCAATGATGCTGTCAAACAGGATATGAGGCACCTCCGATTCTGCACTGATAGCCTGTTTACAGGCTGCATGTCTTGGTCATTTTAAATCAGAGGGAACAGGAAGGACCCGACTACATTGTTCCACATTGGGGACAATGAATTTGCAGGGTCAAAAAGCATTAAGCATCGGATAACTGTCACAATATGACGAGATGAATTTGTAAATGGACTTGCCAGATACGTTCGTCACAGAGAGCCAGAGTCCCAACTGGAATTGTCGCCACATGGAAATTATTCCATCAGCATTTTACTAAACCTCTAGTAAGTCAAAAAAGAAGCCAAGATCACCACTAATCACCAACACAATAGTAATTATGAGAATACTTACAAGCAGTGGGTCAGGCCCTGCTTTAAGCCCTGATCGTGACTTGCTTCCACTGAGCCACACAAAACCCTCATGATCTCATACCAGACTGCAAAAATTATTAGCAAGGCTAACTAAGTAAAAGCTAAACCAATTCTCACCTCCTCACTCCGCTAAGTTTCATACAAAAAGCATGGACAGACACATTTCGAGGCTGTAAACAGGCAAGTGCCTTTGCTGGAGAATGTGATAATATATTGCACTCTTTCCAAAGGTCTACTATTTTTCAATCATCATTTTCAAATGCAAATTTCTATTATCTATTTTTTAAAAAAACAAACAAAAAAAAGGTCTAACTTAAAAGGGGGAGGAATGTTGCATTTCTAGAAAATATTATGTTCTAATTTTCAGCCACTGTGTACATACACCATGCAAGTGTATATATATTTTGATATATGATTCAGGAGCTATGTATCTTAAGTATACATTATCAGTAAACTGTATCACTAATTACCTAAATTTAAAATGTATAAAAGTTCTAACATCAATAAAAAAAATACTGAAGCCTATGAAGCAAAGCCAAAGGAATTACATTATAAAAATAAATCATATTACATATAGAGTAGAACTGTAACTGTCCAGTGAACTGGATTCAAGATCTGGATTCACACTACCATGAAAAAAGTTGTTTAATCCCAGGAGATTCCTTCCAGGAGACAGTAGTGCACACAGTTATGCACATGAACCTCCAGCTATATTGGAAGCAAGTGGGATAATAAAGGATAACAAAGCTAAGCACAAATGTAAATATTTCAGCTATGGCTTGCAGGACTAGACTCATAATAAATACAATTACAGGCCTAATTCTTAGTGCCAAAACCCATTTAAATACAACATGATATAAACAGCGTACACCATTTGGAGCTGCAGCTTTGGCTTCCACCTTTTTTCAAGTTCTCTGCTGCTTCAGACAAACCTTCAAGCACATGAGACCCGAATCTTCCCGCCCTGGTGACTGAGCACTGTGCTTCATCATGTGCCAGCCCTTGCTTTGTCACCAGGGACAGAACAAACCTCGGAATTTAAGTGAAACAAGTGCAGTAGCTTGCTGAATCAGCAGCAACACACTGAAACTGATTTTGCCGAATTTATATTGGTCTTATTTGAAAGCCACAAAGACAAGGAAAACCTTCTACAGAGGCAAGTAAGACGATGATATTTTTTTTTTAAGGACAAACTATTTTTAAAATGTACTTGTGTGTTCTTAATCACATTTGTGATAAACTAGTCACCTAGCAAGCTTAGCAAAAAATGAAGTGGTTTGAACTCATTATCCTTTGGAAAAAAAAAATTTACTTTTTTTGCTGAAATATATTCAATTTTAAAAAGAAAGTATTTTCTTGAAAATTTATTTTCTCAAATATTCCAGAAAAATATTTTCAATTTTCCATTTGAAAAAATGGTTTCAAGTTCAACTTTCCAATATTCTTAATATTATTCCAAACAATTGCAAGAATACTACTGAAATCCCTTGTATTGGAACACCATGTTTTCATGTAGCTAAATGAATTTTTATTGAACAGGACAGCTTGCGCTAAGCTGTTGCGCTAAGCTGTTGCACAAAAAATTTCCAGATATACAGTAAGCAAGCAAAAATAGGAAGGAATTTATCACTATGAGATAATAATTAAAAAAAAAGCTTTAAATGCCAAAGCTTTAAAACTGGTTGTTTTTTTTTTAATCAACTCCACAAGATTTTTAAAGATATAATCATTGCTTTAAATTTTCCACAGACAAGATTTTACCACAAACTTCTAGTCCATAATTATATACTTAGGAATAATTCAAAAGATGCAAGGGTGTTTCATGTTGAATTGAAATATTCAGGGCAGGATCATATTGTGATCAACACGTGGAAATGAAGAGTGAACAATTTCTCTGTGATATTTATCAAATTTTTCCTGGGTTTCATATTTTTTATCTGTTTTCAAGGTCAGCTTTCACGCATCACTGATATTTTATTTTTATGGTCTCCTTTTTACAGTGTACAAGGAAATGAACACAAGACAGTAACACTAGAGCTAAATAACCATGCTGTAAACTGTACCTTCCAGCAAACTTATGGTGTCACTCTTACTCTGCTGCAATAGTCTTTTAAGCAGACAAAAATACAGCAAGAGAATGGCTAACATAAACCAGAACAAACCCAAGTTAAATATACTAGACATGAAAGGCATGAAATTATCAACAGCTCCTCTGGGTGTCCCTCATGTTTACCATACAGACTAATGGTTCTTTTAAATAAATAAAGCATTAGCATTTTAGAAAACACAAGAGGTATCTTGGCCTATGCAGCAAATTATATTTGGTCCAATAAACCTGAAATTTCTATGAATGTTTTGCAAAATCTTGTTCTAACTGCTGACAAGTCCTAGCAGGTCCTAGGAACAGAGTCTTTCCAGAAATTTGTGAGATGTCGCCTTTAGACCACAAAACACCTCTGTCAGTCTGGCTTTACATCACTTTTGTGTCTCTTTCAGATTTTTTAAAAAGTGGTATTCCCAGTTCCCAAAGTCCTACCTCTGTCAACCCTCCGAGCTGCTACTCAGCCACAGCAGCTACATGTTTATTGGCACAGTGTTTTTCTGAAGCTGAGAAGGAACATGCAGGGCTTTAGCCATGGCCCAAGAGGATGCTCCAACACATCCACGGGCTTCAGCTCCAATACCATGTGTACTTAACACGGCAGTTAGGTAGTTACTGACATTTCTTCAGTGTTGGTCACTCACCTTATCACACTGTTTTTGTGGACACTTACCTCCTGCACAAACACTGGACGGCTCAGCCGCTAGGATCTCAATGCAAGATTTCTTGAGAATCTGAAAGATTTAGAAAATGGCACTTTTGGTAACCATTTTATCTACGCTTTACTAATGCAGGAGAGGACGCCCTTTTCTGGGTTTCAGAATATCAAACTTACTGAATCAATTGTTCCTCTTAGGGCATAAAAGCCTCCCTTTACTGGAAAAACATGATCGATGCTGTCAGCAATCGTTGACAGCTGCAAAGAAAGACAATCATAAATCATGAGGAAAACAAAATTACAGTGAACAAAACCGGGCCCTTTCATACTTGCTAGAAGACATCATAGTGACATGAAATGATTTATGCCTCGAGTAATTAAATAAACGCGTTCATCTGATGCTGTTACTTGTGCAGTAGTATAACAGAAAAACAAAACAAGAAGAAAGCAAAGTTACCTGAGTTTCATTGAAATCTTTCACTCCAACACAATAAACAATAGCTCCAAAGCTTCTGGCTCTGTTGGCCTAAAAAAAAAAAAAATAAAAAAATAAAAATTGCCATTAAGTGTAAAGCCATATAATCAGTGGAGCCAGCAGTAAACGTCTACAGGTTTGACATAAACTAGTTTGGATAAACATGAAGGTGACTTACTTCTTGTTCTGCATAATAAAACTGAGCATCTTGCAATTCTCCATCCGTCAGAGCAATAATCACACTAGCAGTCCGAACTCCTACATGGAGGACAGTTAACAGATTGCATACATATGACACAAGACTCAGCAATGAAAAACAAGTTTGAAGTGAGGCAATCCTTTTTGCTGAAAAATAAATACAAAACCATAAGGCCAGACTCTCAGCCTAATTTGCATGGACTTGGTGATATACCAGCTGAAGGCCAGATGCAAAGCATGCAATAAGCCAAAAACCAGTGCACCTTCACATCACAAGAATCACTGAAGGGGCAGTGCTGCTCTAACAAGGTCCACACACGGACTTTTCTGTTCTGCATAAAATACAGCACCTACTGAGATTACCACCTTTCACGTGGAGAACTGACAAAATGGATCTGCAGAGAAGGAGAGGTTTCCTTTCTTCTTTTGACAAACTTGTTTGTAGATAAACCTTGTTCAGAGATTGTAGTAAGAGATACCTCTGCAAAAGGAGCTTTCCTGCCATTCTACCTTCTCTCCAGCAGACTTTCAAAGAGCAACCCCACTGAACGTGGCATGAAGTATGCTTCTGTGGGGTTGTGGGAGTGGGGAGGGTGTCAGTCCTACACTTCTCAAGCAACAAGAATTTCCAGTAAAATTCACAGGATTTCAGAGCATGTGAAAACCTTAAGATCAGGGAAAAAAATTCATGTCTTGCGAAGCGACCTTTCGTATCCCATATAAGCTTAAGTGAAAAGGTTGCACAGGCTGCAGATATCTATATATGTAACGTAGTATAGAATACAATGCTGCCTAAAATGCAACAAGTTCACAAAATTAAACCAAATTAACATGCAAACTATCCTTCAACCAAACATTCTGAGTCCATAGTTCTTAAGCCAAGTAAATAATATACACACATGTTACTTTCAGGGAAGTGTTTGTTATTTTTTCAAAACAATCTGTTACAATTTCAAGTGTCTTCCCCCATATTGTCTGAAATTAAAGACTGATTAGTTCTGACAGGTTTCTTATGCCACGCAGTCCTTCCCATGTCATGTCAGACACAGACATAAATCTTAAAAAAACGACCTGCAACTTGGGAGGAAAAAAAATAGCTTGGATTTCCATATTCCTCTTTTTTTTTTTTTCTTCGGCCCAGCATGCTTTAAAAAGGCTGAAAAAATGGAGATCTTATTTAGTTTTCTTCTCTACACTTGTTTCTTCCCTGATAATTTAGTTCATGAATCCAGATCTCATCTACTCTATTTTCCTCCCTAATAAATCTACAGAATACTTGATTAGTTCTTAGCTATATGGTATAATGAGGTAAAATTGTTTTCAGCTGGACACTTCAGGATTCCTGATTTTACTGGCAGAAGTGCCTGCAATGCTGTGCAGAGCTGCTGCTGTAGACTCTACTCTCATAGCCTATTTTAATAAAAAGGCACTGGCCTGTTTATCCATCTTCCAAAAAGACCATCAGCTAACAAGAACAATCTCACACAAGGGTATGAACCAGGCAAGACTTGTTAACTAATTAGGACTTCTTTTGGCACAGACAAAACCCACAAATACGCTTTTCTCTCAAAATTTAGTGAAAATGTACATTTTAGCAACTTGGAATCTCAACCCAAATCATTCAAACTGATGTAAAAACTTCAGCTAATTGTATTCATACCTACAATAATGAGAACGAGGACTTGGGAACACAAAGCAGACAGGGTTGAAGGCATCAGGACAGAAGGGCACAGGAAAACCTGGGTATTCCTGTCTCCTGCGTGCAGGACGGGTAGCTGTAAACGGTTTGGTCTGCATTCTGCAATGGTCAGATCTGGGATCATACTGGTCTTCTCTGGTCTTAATAAACCATGAATCATGCATTTAAAAGTAGGATTGTAGTCAAAATGGAATGTAGTATTGCATAACACCAATTCCTTCTCCAATAATGCTTTCAGCGGGTTTACTGCAGGTCATAAAAAGAATTATAATCCCTGTCTTTTCAATGCAGATATATAACATGAACAATATACAGCACGTACCTCCATAGGTTTCGTGGTAAATTTGCTCATTTGCCTGCAAGGAAGTGCAGAACATTGTTAGCCCTTAAGTATACCAGCATCAAGTAAGCAAAGTTTATATGTATAAAACAAAGAAAGTAGGTACTGTGATGTGTACCCTTTTAAATCCTTCATGCATGAACGTGTCTCCTCCAGGCACTTCATCCCGAAGAATGTCGAGCCCTCGTCTTATGGCTTCCCTTTGGATTGAAAAAAAACAAATATAAACAAACAAACAAAACCCCAGGAGAACATTTTATTAAAATTTTCTTTTGTTGAGATATTCCTGTACCACAGCTAGATTATGCACCCTGTCAATACACTGCACAGAGTACAATACCATCAGCCAAAGCACTGGTTAAATCGAGTTTTTTTTCAAAATCCACAATTTCTCAGCCAAGCACTCATAGGGGCACAAAATCAGATACATAGTTCAGTGTTAGGGTAACATATTTTACGGATGCAATTCTGTCCCTGCTCCCTCATTCTGGTATACTGTCAGCCAGGATAGGATTGAATTAAGGAAAATGCCAGATATTCAACTTCGACACACTGCAGACCAAAAGAGAATTTAAAAGCTTACGACCCTGTCACGAAAATGGGAAAAATTAAAACTCCATATACAATCGGTCACGAGGACAGTTGAATATAAAGACAGAGGCCAAAAGATGATAGAAGACAATGGGAACGATAAGAATTTCCTATCCTCGACCAGGCACTGATCAACTTTCCTGGGGCAGAGCTTTCTCCCTGGAAACTGAGGCCCTTGGATACCATGACCCCTGGTGCATAGCTTCATACACCACAAATACCTAGAATAACCTCAGTGAAATTAATAATTTAATTATCACAGATCACTAAAAGACCCTGATCCTTGGCAAAGTTTTCATTATATTTATGGAACACATATAAGGCAAAAATATTCAACAGATAAAGATGTAAGTAGTTCAAAAATCACCTTAGGATGCCATGGGGAATCCTTTATTTAAAAGAATAGTGAGAACCTATCTAAACTCCATTTTGCAACTGGGTATTTTAGATGACACAACCACAATTACAGAGAATACAGGAGTCTATGTAGGATTAAGGTAAAAATCAGCAGCTGGGACTGGGGATGTCCTTAGGGCAAAAAGCACATTTTTACCCTTTCGAAGTACAAAATGAGCTGAAAAGGCCCACATAGAGAGAACAGAAGTTTAGGAGAAGGAACACTCTAATACCATGTTCAACATATTGCCACAAGGTTCCTGTCTACTTTCCACCTTGCAAAGAGTAAATCCACCTGGGAAAAGTAAGCAAGTTTGAGCTCTGTCACCATGGTACATGATGGAGACCTGAGCAAAAACTCAGGGGAGCCAGCAGAAATGCAAGACCCCTGCAGGGTTTCTGGCTTTGGATAAGGCCCTAGAGTACAAAGCAGAGGAAGTGGTTGTTCTTTCAAGACTGCTGCAGAGTCCCTGTTATTTATAGGGTGCCCTGTACTATTGAGGTCTTCTCACACAGACAGCAGCAGCAGCAAAAGTGAGGACTTTAGGCTGAAATGAAAGAAACACCCCCAACAGGGATTTGTACGTGTAAGGCAAATTAAATTATTTTTCTTTTTGAGACGGGGGTTGGATTGTGGCTTTTTTGGCGGGTGGTGGTTTTGAGTTTTGTTTGTGGGTTTTTGTTTGTTTAAAAAAGATAATTTGTGAAGGTCGCGCTTCAGACTTTTCTTACAAAGCCTGTCACTTGGATTTGCAAACCACCTCTGGAATGGGTGCTGTCTGCAGGCAGCCCAGGAGAGGGGTGTGATAGCCTGGTAGGGGACTGCTCCAGCACTGGGTACGACCACCTGCTGGTGTGAAGTTCAGGGCTTTGAGTCTCTTCCAAGGGCACTGGGGGATTTTCATACAGTCTTTCGCTCATCAGTTCATGCTCTGAGATCTCTTCCACAAAAACAGCCCTTATTTGGGTAGTTGGGGATAGCAAGGATGTATCTGGATCCTCAACTGGAAATGCAGTTTCTCCCTGAAATACTGCAGTAAAGAACAGACAGCCTAGTGCTGCCTTTCTCTTATAAAGCTATAAAGAAAATTGTAATGGGAGACCTAAAGGCTTTTCTAAGCCCTCTTCCAGCTGGGAATGGTGGAGAGGATTTCAGTTGCTGCCACACCAAGGATCAGGACAGACCTCCAAATTCTGAGGAGACTCACTGTTTGAGAGGAGGGATGAAGGGTACTTCTGGATGAAAGCTGTGGGGAGTACTTGCCTGTTCTCTGTTAGTTTCATGATTGTAGTGCCTCGTGAAGAAAACACAATGAAAGACATCCGCAACATTGGACTGAAACAGAAGAACAAGCCAGAGCCGTGTCACATACAATAGTTCAGCAAATTTTCATTTGCTAAGAAGCACTGAACAAAAAAATAAGTTGTATAAATATAGGAAATTAAAATATCATCTTAAGAAAACTTTACCTTATGAACTTCTCCGCTAGGCTTTCCACAAAAGAGTAAATCTCAGTCCAGTGATTTCTGACACTTCCAGATCTGCATACAAAACATAATTCATTATATTAATCTTTCTTTGCAATTAAATTCCTTGTTCCACTTTGAATTTTAAACCTGGCCTGCTCCAAAGGTAGGGAGGGACATAAATTATATATAGCTGTGCTGCAAGCTGTAACAGGAACCATGAAGACAAAATTGACTGACTCCAAGACAAGTAAAATAGGTCTGAAACAGTTTACCATACAATATTGAAACAAGTTCAGTAACCCTTCCATCTGCTTTTATTCCTTTTATAGCATAAAATATAAATATCTTCTTCTAGTTTAATTAATTTTATTTGACTTCATTAAATCATCTGCTAGCAGGTTATTTACTTCCCTAGAGCACAGCTCTGCCCTTGAAGCCACAGAGTCTTGACTGATCTCCTATTCTCCCAGAATGCGTGGGAGAATGTTTCCATGAATTACTGTTTGTTTCAAAAGAGAAAGCTTTTGAAATAATTCAGAAAGGAAAGGCAGTACTCTTGGCTAATTTGCTGGACTAGTGTTCTGGACAGTCAATCCCTGGCTCCATTAGAGATTTCTTGTGAAAACTTGGGTAACTTAGTTACATGCAGAGGACTTACACATTCATGTTGCCATTCCCATTATATACAACTGTATTACTGGCACTCCCTGGCTTTTTTTTTTTTTTTGCCAAGTCTTATCAGGGACCCCCACAGTCTGATGGGACTCAGACTGCAAACAGAGCCTTGCACACAGCAACTCTACAGTAAATTATAGGCAATTTCTACTGTGTTGTACTATACCATACACTTTCAAGACATTAAAAAGGCAACAAAGCATGAAAAGTCAATGGTTTTAAAAGCCCTCCCTAGGATTGTGACATTTATGAAAGAATGACCCATTTGCTTTCCTTGCTTGCCAAACTCATCTCTCAGGTGTCTTAGGCAGAACGATAAATGAAACAATAGCACATACAGAAGAATCACAAGGGCTTAGATGCAGAACTAAAAAAGTTCTGAAATTTAACTACTATAAAGCAGTAGGGTTTCTCTTAACTGCTGCTAGGCATTTTTCTGTGTAAACATGAGAAAACAATTTCATACTACAATTCTCAGCTCTGCTATGGGCTTTCCAAGTGACCCTGTGCCAGTCACTCCTGCTCTCGGTATGTCAGGTACAGAGCAGCACACAGAAGCCCACATGTGCAATGTAGTATGGCACTGCCTGCCCTGCAGCAGTGCCAGTAGAGTGGAGAAGAGCAAAGATAAAGGGACAAGGACCAAAAGGAGTCTCCTGAAGTACAAAAGCTAGAATAAGCTGTCTTGTGTAACCCTGTGCTTTTTATGCTGCTCTTCTAGAGAACTGGTGATTCATTCACAGAACAAACTGGTTATCAGAGAATGAAGAAATTGCCAGGCACTCAGACAGGGCAACAGAACACCAGGGACTGCTCAAACCAAGGGTCTGGATCCTCTACAGTCTCTCATTCATATGTGCTACACAACAACATGTCAGTGAAAGGTGCTGGCACTATTACCAAATTAACCCTTTCCTCAGTATTAAAACAATAATCCATAACTCATGCAAGGTATATAGTTTAAAGACTGCTTTTCCAAAAGAGATCCAAGACAGTTCAACACCTATAGTTCTCCAGGATTTTTCTGAAAGTCCCAGGCTAAATCTCTAAACATGAAGTCAGAGAGATTTTCCTTGAATCTCTCCAAGATGCATTTACAGCTCCCAATTTTTTTGTATTCTTTCCCCCCTGGAGCTGACACACTCAATTTCATTCTGAGCTTGCCATCTGACTTAAATTCAATTCCTGAAATTTTCAATGAAGTCAATTCCCTACAGAGAATACCCATAGTTTCTCACTTGGAAAAGACTGACCTATTTTGGACAAGGTATCAAATTTCTACTGCCAGCTGCAGAGGCACTGATGCAATCCAGAAAAGAAAGTAGCAGTGAATTTTCTTTAGAACAGCAACAAACCATTTTCAGTATCTTCTTGGGACTGTCAGAATCCTTTTTTTTCCACTCCCTTCTCTTTTTTTAATCTACTCCTCAGGCAAAGAACATCTTGGTAAAACAGCCTAGACACTGAAAATTCAAGAAGATCATAAGTCAGTAATAGTGGAAAAACATGAAGACTTTTAAAGTGAAAATGCACAGGTAATACTATGCACTTCTACATACCCTGACTATAATGAAACACCCTTCTCCCCTAAGAAGAATGCTGCACTCACATCTTGCTTATCAGCTGGGAAGTATCAAAGTGTCCCATCTATCAATGGGGAAATGTCAAAGCCAAATAAAAATACTAGCAAGAAAATATAAATGTTTTTAAATCCCATGGAGAGAGTACCAGTGAAGTGGTCAGCACTTAATCACTTTCCCCATCACACTCCTTCAAGCCCAGGTGTGTCATCTCCCACTGCAAATGGTGCCCAAATAACACAAATGCCAGTCATGTCTAACCCATTATGAACACCAGTGGGAGTGGCCTGGCTTATAGAAGAACCTGATTTCCCCTCCCTCCCACCAAACCTCACCTCTAAATATCCCTGTTTGTAATGTACTTTTATTTGCCATTTCATATATACATGTTTTGGAGGCTTCTTGGGTTTGTCCTGATAGTCTGATATGTTGCCCCAGAGGCCTGACTCCATACTACCAGCAACAGCAGTTTTAATGGCAGATTAAAAAAAAAAACTTCAACAACAAAATGTTTGCTAAATTATATAGTAAGTTGCCAAATGCTATCAAATATGAGCCCCAACACTGACAAACAGAACTGCCCAACACTACTGAAAATCCTGACCTATTTCACTGCCTTTGGGATCTTATCTTTCACACTGCAGAGTCACTGTTGCTGTCAGCACAAACTAACTTGCTACCCTTCATGGCTGAATCAGACTCAGAGGCTTTTGCCTTGGTTTCCCATGGCATGTGGGAAGCTCCAAACATACTCTAAGCTCCTTTCTGACCACGACCAATGCTTGAAAGCCGTACTTATATTTAACTCCACAGTTACCAAGCCCAGAGAAAGAACAGGGTCTTTCAGTGATGCTCTGCAATACAGATTACTCTTGGACATCCACACAGCAAAATTTTTACAGCCATTTTGGTGCTTTTCTTGTTTCCCTTCAAACTTTACAGTAAGTAAAAACAAACTCCTCTTAATCAGTGTACCTGTGCTAATAGGAGCCTGAGATAGAGTTGGCATGTGATTCCCAACGTACCATCAATCTGGCCTGTTTGGCCACCAAATGATACTCTCCTGTAAGATTCCTGAGGAACTGTGAAGACTTCAGAATAATGAGAAAAGAATAAACGAAGCACAGAGAAGATCAGCACTGTGCAGAAAAAACACTGGGTGGGACACACACTCACCCCCCCCATCAGCAACTAGGAGAAACCATGGGGAAGTGTATCCTGTTGTGGAGTTCTATACCAGCAGGTCCACCAAGATAGCACACTGTGGCTGTCTGCAAAATAAAGAAAGCCTGTGTTGCAGCCATAATTGTCTCGCAGGCCTCGTGAGTTTCCTGCTTTCAGCCATCAGCTACCTGGTTCAGCTCCTCACATCAATCGAAGGCTGCCATCACTCAGCCAAGCCCTGGCCTTCCTCCCTGTGCTCTCCCTGCTGAGGAAGCCCAGTGAGCCTAACATTTTCTGCAAAGTATTGAGCACCACAAGCCAAAGACTTCTGCAGATGGTGACAAACAGGTGACAAGCAGGTTGTATGCCTTTTGGAGTCAAGCAGGATGGTGAGGCTTCAGGCCTCGGAGGTTGCATAACTCTCATGGTGAAGGAAAGGGCAAAGCAATACAGAGCTGCTGTGGGCAGCCAGAATGCCCCAGAAAGCATCTCAGAGCCTGCTTCTGCTGCCTGTTCCACTGGGGTGAACCCAGAGTGGGACCAGAGAATGCCTATGCAATTGGGACCAGAATTCGGCCCAAGTGAAGTTAAGAAAAAAACCACAGGAGTCATTTGTCTTGAGCATGCTCCCTTCTCCACAAGCTCTGTTCCCATTACACGAGACAAAGAGAAAAGTCAGCAAACCACAACACAGGAAAGAATGTCCTCCCGGCCTCATCAGGACTGGGCTCGGAGGAGCAGCTGCTGCCGCAGCTCCTGCTGCTGCCGTTTTCCTTAATTTCACATTGCTACCACTTGATGGGAGGGGAAAAGAGGAGGTCAGCGAGTATTTCTGGGGGTGGAAGGAAGTGATGTGATTCCAAGGCTTGATTCTGCTCCTACTGACTTTGGAGAGATTCCTTCTAGTTTAGCGGAGTTCCGTGTCAGTATAAAAACAGTGAGCACGTTAAGAGTTGTGCCTACCCAACCTGAAGTATTTCACTGCTGTTTGTTCAGACAACAAAGAGCAAGATGGATTGGAAACATTCTCTTCTTTCCTAACAGGCTCCCAGAGGCAGAGGAAGCTGGAGCCCAGAGAAATGAAGCAGCACAACCCTGGCATATGGGATGCTGCTCTCAGCTCAGTCACTTCAGCAAGCAAAAACCAGGAGGGCCAGATCTGTCTGTCCTAGAGTATGTGATGCACAGTTACCACTAAATTCACTGTCAGGAGCACATACAGATCAACCCAGTGCAATAGACAGCACTCATGCAGCTTTGCAGTAAAAGTTAAAACTCCAGCCCTACCCAAACAGTAAATATTTTTATTACCATACACAGAGAGAAGGCAAGAGGACCCAAAGCCTTTCATCCCTGCTGAAAGTGACCAAGTGAAATCCCTTGAGAGCACAGCACTTTCCCTTGTCCTATTCCACACATACACACACTCCACATGCACATTTGCCTCCATTACAGATTTAGCTCAAGGCAGCAATTCTGGAGATCCTGAAGCAAGAAAAAGAAACATTATTACTGATGGGTTTAGTCTGAGTACGGTGTCAAGGGAGTATACCTCCTATTGAGTTTGTAGGTCCCAGTAAATCTCTACTTCCTTGAGCTAATGGTGGCACTGCACATGGCCCATTGCTCAGAAATGCAACACTGTTATTTCAA